CATGCTATACTCATCATAACTATTGTTCTAACATGGCTTCGAATAGAGCTTCCTCTGATCTTCCTTTTGCCTCTAGTTTGTGAGGGAGACCTTGCGATCAAAGACCGAGTGATTTTCTTAGAGGATCCCTCTCCAGAGCAATCTGCTCAATTAAAATACTATGCCAAGGGAGTTCGCAACAGGATTGCCGAGAAGGATTTTAAGAAACATAGGGCTAAATTATGTACCCTTGATGCTGTTAGGTTGAGAGTTCATATGAATGACGAAATAGCTTGAGACTTTATTGAGGGCGAGTTTTGTTTCATAGGCTTGGACATTCTTTGGGGCTCTATCCTTGGTGTTGGTGTTTTTCCTTATGTGGAGAAAGTGTTGCACTCCTTCCAGATCAAGGGTAGTGCTGGATAGAGCTATGACTAGTGTTATCTGGCCAAGAGGCCTACAAGCAGTGATTTGTTGACCAAGTTTCCTTCTTCTCCAAAGAAATGGAAGGATCAATTTTTCTTTGTTTCTTGTTCAAGTTGGTAATTTAGTCCCTCCGAACCTCTCGTGGCTAACCTTACCAAAATCCTTCCACTTTGGGGAACCCTTGTTTCCTCATCTGGTGAGCTTCTTTCGTTTATTGCCTTTCTTTGTTTTCACAAGAATATGGCCTAATCATTTTCGTTGTTGCAATTGACAATATGTCATTCTTTCGGAGGAGTTTCTAAACAGGCTGAAGGTGGTTCAAAACTATAAGACCAAGGAATTTGATCTTCTGGTTACAAATTCTAACCTTTTCAAGTACTAACTTGGACCAGCACCCTTAACAGTGGTGCTCGAACCTGTTGTGCATCTTAAAATTAGGTAGTGAACCTCTTTCGTCAAATTGCAAGGCTCTTTTTCCAATGTTTCTAAATTTGGTTTTTCCATTTAGTAGGTCTTCCTCGTAAAATTGACAAGAAAGTCTTACGCGAGGTCAAGACTAGTAAGTTTGTTAAGGGCACAACTTTGAAGGCGTAAGTCATAACTACAATGGTATAAGCCAGTAAGTAAGGTCACAACTTCCTAGCTGTGGTAATCAAAGTCAATACTACATTTTCTAATTTGGAGTACCTGACCTTAGCTCCTATAAGGCTCTGGCTAGTATAGTGGACTAGTTTTTGAACTCTCTGCTCCTCCCTTATCAAGACGGAGGGTTTACAAAAATATTGTTTACATTATTAGAGTTTTGAGTTGCTCCACTGCGAAAGAATCCTTCCTCCGCCCCTGCTTATTGTACTCCCCAATACTTAATTGATCATCTATATATGTTTGTGACAGACCGGTTATCACATTGGATTAAGAACATAGTAAATGATATCATATTTTTCACCAGTACACGAGTACTGATATCTTATTGCAGAAATTTAATACACCAAGACTAACAGGAACTCACATGGGTGACCGAACCGACACAAAAATAAGCAATTCAAGTACTTCTTTTTTTTTTTTTTTTTTTTGGGGGGGGTGGAGAAAAAGAAAGCATGGCTGATGAAACCTGACTTTTAGATCGTTACTCAGAATAGTTAACTCTTTAACCACAAACATACTTTAATCGATCTAGGCAGCAAATACTTTTCTGCTTAGTTATGGTACAAAAAAATTATTTTTAGTACCATACATATATTTTTTATTTAATAAATTATTACCTGTGTATAATTTCATATTTATAATTCCTTATTATTTTATAATTTATTACTATAAATTAATCAAAAAAAGATTTACGACTGTAGATCTAGTTCATTAGGTGCCAAAATTTTTCGTTGCTTACCGTAGCCATTATCCTTTTTTACAGTAAATAAAAGGATAACATTGACGTACGTAACACGTTCATTGTTTTTTCTACCGCTGAAACAATTTGCCAAACAAACAACAGAAAAGACAAAAGGCGTCAGACATCAGACATCACAGGCCATTCAAATTAACGTAGGCCCCACGGCATGACAATATAACTTAATGCAACTTTGGTCCCTGAAAATTTAACAAGGAAGACTTTTTAACTTACACTTATTTTTCTCACCTCCTCATACAACCCAATCACAAGTAATCTTTTTTCTCCACTCAGTTACCAACTTTGAATTGAATTAGTATCATTATCTAATTTTATTTTTGTTGTTAATCGAGATATTTGAAGGGCAAATTGGTCCTTTTTTTTCGAGGAGTCACATTAAGAGTGAATTGTTAAATATATTATTTTTTTTTATCATGAGATCATTGATTTATACCATTCAAAAAATTTGAGAAGAAGTATGTTAGAGTAGATCTAGACTCAAGTAAATTGCGTACAAACCAAACATTTGTTTTATTTACATAAACCTTCGAAGCCACGACTTTTCTAGCACTTTCTCTTCCACTTCTCTATGAATTAGATTTGATCATTCAAAGCTTCTAACTATGTTACTATTAGCACCAAGAAAAGAAACTAGCTCCAATCGTTTGTTGGGTGAAAACTTCTCAATCCCCTTTCTGTGCTTTCACCCCAATGAAATTCCAGGACAACAAGAGTCAAGACAATCTTATTCCAATAAAAACAATCCATGTGCACTGCTCCTATCCATATTTCTCCTATATAGATTTTTTTTTTTCAATGGGTA